TGGATTTTATACCTGGATTATTGAGCATGGACTTTGTTGTTAATGGTAAAATCTGTGTTTTCCACTCAGCCAGCTCGGAGCAGATGGATGTAGTTGGTTAATTTATGTCCAGAACATCCAGGGTTAGAAAAGATCACACATCCACCGTGGAAAATTACAGCTGCACATGTTGACCCACAGAAATAACACGGAGTCCGTAAATAGAGAGACACTTTTCTCTTGTGTCAACACAGCATCAAACGTAAAATAAAAAGTTATAAAGACCTCCTCCACAGCACACTGGACACAAAGAGGGTTCTATTTTTCACTGAGACTCCTTTAATGGAGGGAGGGAGGGAGGAATGCAGAGAGAAGAAGGGTCTGTTGTTCCGATGCCTCACCTGTAGAAACCTGCCGTCACAGAGAGCCCAGAGTGCTTTGTTATCATGACCTACAAACCCAGAACACCACCTGCATCGTCACACAGCTTCCCCCGGGGTGTCACTCAGGGATATGGTTCGAGAGCTTCACGTTCTCTAACATGGTCACCAAACTGCTGCTGGTGCAGAACGTGTGTTATTCTGTCGCACTGGGCAGCACAGCAGTCATCTTTCGATCCTGCAGGGGAGGTAAAATTAGAAATCGCTCTCGCCTCTAAAGGCGGATGGGTGGAATGGAGTAAGTGGGTCAGGCTTCATTTCCTGAAGGCCCGGTCACCTCCTCCGGAGAATACCAACGTAGGAAGTTATTTGTGACTGCGGAGCAAAACATGCCAGGAGGAGTGTTTTCTATCTTGTGAATTTCTAGAAGCCCTCTGCGATGTGTGTCCATCTTTACTCCCACACAGCAGAGGTGGTGAAACAGTGAGGAGGAGTCAGAGAGTTGATAAGACAACCAGAGAGTGCAGTCCTTATCCGCCCACTGCTCGCATCTGTGACATCACGGAGGAGCAAAGATGGCGACCGAAGAGGCCAACAGCTCACAGCTGACAGCAACTATTTGATAACAGCAAGCCCATTATATTATTTATCATTTTATTTATAATGAATAGAATATATATGTCAATTTCATACGACAATCATGTAAAGCATTGTTTATAAGTAACGATGATCTTAACTAGACCTGAAGTCAGTCATTAACACACGCAACTCAGAACTTACATATAAAGGGTGTTGCACAACAGTACTGCAATACGTTTATTATTATTTACCTGTTGTGTACTCAGATCCTGTGATACTTTGAAGGATGAAGCTCGTCTCTACTGATAATAGCTAACCAACAGGTCATGTTTGTGTAATGAAAACCTAAAAAGAGTCAGACATATGCAGTAGTCCCTCCTCGCTACTTTGCGGTTCGTTTTTCGCGGATTCGTTACATCGCCGTTTTTCAAAATAAGATTGGACATGACACAGTTGGCTGATGGATGGATGAGCCGTGGGTTGTTTATTTAAAATAAATTCTTTTAAACGATTTTGCACCATGTGTGCAGCCCACAAGTGGAGGGGGAAGCTCCCTCCTGCAGCTGATCAGCTGATCTCCTTTGCAACGTCTCTCCTGCAGCAGCTTTGTGAAGGGTTAACCCTTTGCTGTCCAGCTGCACCCATCCACTTTTGTCTTCCAACTTGAAACTCAAAGTATGTCGCATCGCAAAAATCATCATAATCACAAAATATAAAAGTGTTAAAAGTTATTTTTAATTATTTTAGAACTTCTATGCTCAGTTGTTGAAGTGTAATTGATCAAGAAGCACATTTCTGCTGCGTGAAGGGTTAACCCTTTGCTGCCCTGCTGTGCTTCTCTTCAATAAACAATCCATGCTGCATAGATTGATTATTTAAAATGTTACGGTATTTAAATTTAATATTTTTATTTAAGGAGAGAGATTGGGAGTAACTGTCATGACGTGCCAGGCTGTAATCACACTCGTCACCTGAGTTTACTGAGTTGGCGGTTTTTCACTCATTGCAGGTGGGCGTGGTCCAAAACACCCGCGATGTACAAGGGACTACTGTAATATTATTTTACACTGTAAATATTACATAAATCAGAGGCAATAAAAGGTTGTACTATTTAATAATTTGTGCTAAACTGTAGCATGATACATTGTAGTGCTACACTGTGTGCATAACAATATCTGACACAGAAGGTAATATTTATTATCCAATTCAATAATTAACAGAGATTAAATCAGATTCATAGGCTCATTTTAATTTTAAACTGTTTACAATATTAGCTAATGGTCTGATCACATCCAGGTAAATAAGATCAAATCTGCTGATTTGTGAAATGAAACGTTTTGCTTGTTCTCTGTGGTTGGTACAACCGTAGCACACACAGCTTTGTGACATATATATATACATTCTAATATTAGATTAATATTATCATTAATATTTCTTACATAATCAGCCCTTAATGTAAGCATTGTTGTAGATACTGACAACGTAGCCAAGTCCGGAGGCTTCCATCCCTCCAGCGAGTCACGTCACGTGACCAATGCGCCCTCTAGTCGACTTATTTAACTCTATGGTAGGAGTTGATTTTAAACTCACTATAAATTAATCCCTGTAAGAAATCAGCCAAGATCATCTAGTGCTGACAGTGTTTTAGTCAAACCTTATAAACGACTTGACGATGGGAGCTCTTGCGAGATCGGTTAGCGTTCACAGTGTGTTAGGGACGGTGCGCTGCTGCTACCACGCAACAATCTAAGCAAAGTGTTTGTAAAGCTGATACACTTACAGACATTTTTGTGTTGGCTAAGGCTGATTAGCTGCGGCGGCCATCTTAAAATGGGTTCCCTCCAAACGTTAAATCAGTTGTACATGTCCATGCGATGATTACTTTGTAAAAGTTTCGTTGACGTTTATTCCGTTTGAAGTTTAAGCTGCTGTATTCATAACCATCTGCTCACTACAGACTCATGTTCGGGCTGCTGTTTAATATACAGTATTATTTTACATTATTAGTATTTAGCGTATATCTAGATCCTTGGATACTGTTTCTTTTTATACTTTATATTTTTGCTATTTTGGGGTGTAACTGGGACCCTGAGGACACAATTTCGTTCCGCCTCATGTACCACATGTGATGCGAATGACAATACAGAAACTTGAACCTTGAATTCAGTGGTTCAGAGTATATTTTGCTAACAGACAGGCAAAGTTGACTGTGAATGTCAAGGATTTAAAAACAGATCTCATGTTGGCGCTCAGTGTTTGTGTAGGGCATGACTTTCAGCTACTACCACATCAACCTTCAGCTCAAATGTCAAACTGACTTCGTTATAGTCATTTTGTGTTCGCCAAGGTTCCTCAGCTGTGGCAGCCATCTTGAGCAGGCTTGACTTTCAAAGTTACTTGTACAGGAAGTGAAAATATCTTGCAAGTTTCATCAAAATCTGTCCACTGGTCCGTAAGATATTTTACTAACATGACATACAAACACATGGGCAGAAACGTTATCTGCCCTCAGAGCCTCCAGCAAAGTTAAAGATGCGTTTTGAGTGTCAGACTTCCTGACCAACTTTAACACGGTGTGAAAAGCTGCAGTAAATCATGTGAGGATCATCAAACCTCCTGACTCCACCTGGACGCTCACCTGTGAACGTTTTTCATCTCGTTTGCAAAACGTAAACGAGTTTGTTGTTTTGTACTGGAGTACTTCTTGTCTCTGCCGAGTTATTAGGAGAAGCTTCGCCGGTACTGGTCCAGCAGTTCGATGGACTGGATCGGATGGCAGAGACGTGGGACGGTTTCTGTTCCCTCGAAACAAAAACTACTGGATGAAGCTGCTCAACTAACAACGGACTAATTTGTAGTTTGAATCAAATCCTCTGAACTTGCAGGTGAAACATTTAGTTCCAAAAACGTACTCATATTTAAAAAAAACACTGATTACAACTTAAGCGTTCTTGTGGAGTTGTTTGCACTTGAGTGGGCGTCACCAGCAGTTGGACAGGTGTTCAAACAGGTACTGAACCTCCTGTGTCCGGATTGTTTGTTCTGGTTCTGATTCAACTCTCATCCAGGCGATAAGGGGGCTTTTTTTTGGACTGATAATGATCGGTACAGAGCTTTATTGATGGTTTGCGCTGGATTCTGACTGGATTTACTGACGTCGCTGAGCATCGATACAGATTCATAAAGAGGATTTTCAGGCTTTGAAATGAGACTCCAGAGTCAGTCGCCTTTTGAGTGCGAGTCAGACGGTGTTCGTGATTAATCCTGACCGCAGAAGCAGGTCAGTGTGTGCCACGTTGTAGTAAATTAAAGGATTTTACTGCCCAACAGGAAGTGGTTAATATACCTTCAAAATACAGTTTTAACTCAGTTTTTATAACCTTTAGTTCCAAGAATTGAAAACCAGCCACTAGGGAGCACCAGCCAGTTTATCTCTTGTGCCGGTGCCAAACCCAGGTAAACGGTGAGTGTTGTGTCAGGAAGGGCATCTGACGTAAAACACTTTTGCCAAAACTATAATGCGAGTTCATCAAAGCAAAAGCATACCGGATCGGTCGAGGCCCGGGTTAACAACGACCGCCACTGATGCTGTTGACAAACAGGGTGCTGGCAGAAATTGTGCTACTGTTGGTTGAAGATCACAAGGAGGGAAACGTGTCAGGAGACAGAGGGAGAGGAAAGTCCAGAATGTAGGACTGAGGGTTGCAACTCTAAATGTGGGGACAATGACAGGCAAAGGTAGAGAGCTGGCTGACATGATGCTGAGAAGGAAGGTAGATGTTTTATGCTTCCAAGAGACCAAGTGGAAGGGCAGCAAGGCTCGCAGCATTGGAGCAGGGTTCAAACTGTTTTACCATGATGTGGATAGAAAGAGAAATGGAGCAGGGGTGGTCCTGAAGGAGGAGTTGGCAAAGCATGTAGTAGAGGTGAAGAAAGATAGGGTGGTTTAGTTTTAGAGAGTAATATGTTTATAGTTTTTTATAGGTTTAGAGATGAATATTTTTTGCTTTTGGTTTGTGAAACGAGGTCAGAGGAAGCTGGTTCTGGTTCAGTTGATTGGACCCAGTGTTGCACCATATTCTGTGACCTGCAACAGTGCATGCAACACCGCCCCCTACAGTCACAATATACGGTGGTCACAGAATATGGTGTAACACCGATTTGCAACGAGCTCCAAACAGGAAGTTGATTCATTTTCTGTTTCCTTACGGTAGTTGAACTGGAAGATTCATCTTTAGTGAAATATTTCCAAACTACTGATGCATTTCTACCCTTTTGCCAAGACTGGGCCTGCTCCGCTCCATCAGTCTGTTGGGAGGAATCCATTTTGTAACACGCGCCCGGTGCGGATCATGTGACACGTGACGCAGTGACGTAACGGCGACGTAATGACGTCACCATGAATACTTGACGTGAAATTTAAAAACTCGATAGATGTCCTAGGAATCGACCTGTCGATTACTCGAGTAGTCTGTTAAAGCCCTAATCTGAAGGTAGAAATAGAAGCCGAAAGAAGAAGTAGTACCAAGAACTGAAAACAAATTCACTCAAATTACTGCAGAAACTCTTATAAATGGAGGATTTTTACAATCGAACAGGTTGATTTAAAGTCACGGTCGTGAAGATGAGCGCCTTTAGAGCTGCCTCTGGAGATTATTTATGCACCGACTGAGACGGACCCATCCAGCGTTCATCAGACCACAGGAGGATTTAGAGTATGACATAGTCGCGCTGACATCAAGCACAGAGCCGACTTACCCTCACACACACCAAACTTTTGGGTTCTGTGACTACCTCACTTGGTGGGTCAGAGGAGTAACAGCAGGGGTTACCTTTCACCTCCACTCCACCTCATAAATCACAGACACAGGAAAGTGTTTTTTAGTTCTCTAAATGAGTTCTCTGTATTGAACATGTGGCATGCGCACAGGTGGAGCAGCGGGCAGCTATGTAAGCAGTTAGGGGTTAGGTGTCTTGCTCAAGGACACCACATGTGGGCATGGCAGGGAGTTGAACCTGTGACTTGCTGATGTCAAGTCAGCTGCAGGAAGGTGTCTCAGTCGTGTAAAAATGTTTTGTGGAAGTGACAATAAAACTCAGTACGTTTAGTGGTTCAGTCAGTTTGTTATATGTTCTGGTTGTCTGTGTGTCTGCAGGTGGGAAGTGGTGGCTGCTGGACAATAACGTCCTCAACATCACCAGCATTGAGTTTTCAGATCGTGGGAAGTACACCTGCATGGCGTCCAACGTCCACGGCAGCTCCAACTGCACAGTGACCCTCCGGGTGGTCTTCACCAAAGGCGACATGGGCATCTACTACATGGTGGTGTGTCTGGTGACCTTCACCATCATCATGATCCTGAACGTCACGCGCCTCTGCATGATGAGCAGCCACCTGAAGAAGACGGAGAAAGCCATTAACGAATTCTTCCGCACCGAGGGCGCAGAGAAGCTCCAGAAGGCCTTCGAGATCGCCAAGAGGATCCCCATCATCACCTCGGCCAAGACCCTGGAGCTGGCCAAGGTGACGCAGTTCAAGACCATGGAGTTCGCCCGCTACATCGAGGAGCTGGCTCGCAGCATCCCGCTGCCGCCGCTCATCATGAACTGCCGCACCTTCATGGAGGAGATCCTGGAGGTGGTCGGCGTGGAGGAGATGAGGCACACCTTCCTCAGGCACGCCACCGAGGGGCGCCACGACGCGCTGAGCAGACTCTCTTCCACCGGGGTGAGAGACATGTTCGCCATTCTGCAGGTGAGGGACAGGGAGCGCAGCGAGTCGCCCGCCGCCGACTCGGACAACTCCTCCGTCCAGGACCAGCCGCAGCACATCGCCATCCAGGCGTCGGTCCACCCGCCGCTCTCCACCGAAGGCTACTGCGGCGCAGAGTTTCCACAGCAGCCGGAGGCGCCACCATCATCGCCTCCCCCTGCGTCGCCACCGGCTCCCGCTCAGCTCGAGGAGCAGAGCGACGCTGCGGGAGACAAAGCGGCCGATCAGAGCCCTCCCTGTCAGGTGTTTTATGAAAGCCATGTGTGACGAAGCACCGAGTGAAATCTCCTGCTATGCAGCTCCACTTGAAGACCGACAACGGTCCACGGAACATTTTCATTTCTGCATTTGCAAAGAAGCAATCACATTTTTATTCATCACTCCTGAACCTTGTAGAACATTTGTAGGCTCCCGAGAAGAAACCTGACGCTTCTCGGACGTTTGAACCTCTCATGGTTGAATGTACACAGGAGGAGGCATCTTCATGTTTAATGTAAGAAGCAGAGGATGGTATCAGGTCGGTCACAGCTGACGTTGAGGAAGCTGGGTGACCAGTTTCCAGTTCTTTGTTTCTCAGTCCTTTGATTTACTCCAGAAATCTGCCTCCGGCTGCGTTCATGCCGCTCTTCTCCATCTTCCATCTCTGCCGTCGTACGTCGCTCTGCTTCAACCTGCAGCTGCATGCTGGTCTGATACAAACTTAACGGGAGCGTCTGATCGCAGTGTCCCGAGTGCGTTTGCTGATTTTATGTTGGTTCATCTCGTTTCGGTTTTTAAAGTTTTCTCTGTAGTTTTCCTCCTTCATCATCAAACGTTTTAAATTTGCCTCCCAGCCAGATCCCCGCGCTTCTGCAGTCGAGCTGCGTTTCTGCCTGCATGCTTTACGACTTGTTCTGGGACTTAAAGGACTCCTCGTGTTTCTTCCTGCGTTTGGCTGAACCTCCAGTCTGTGGCGGAGAGGAGCTGGACACCGTTCTGCTTTTACTGGTGCTTTTGAGATGCCTCTTTTTGTAGTGGAATAAAATGCAAGTGCTGTGCTTTAAGAGGAGGAAAAAAACAAAACAAGAACGTGTCTGTCTTTTTAAAAAATGTATCATTTCTACATTTGGTACACTCTTTGAGCCTCAAAATTGTCCACGTCATATTGTGAAATTTGTAGCAATTTAAAAGCTTATACTGTACCACCGTGACAGTTTGGAGTCATTGTAAAACTGCTCAGACCAGCCATTAGCTCATCAGTCAGCTCAGAATTCAACTATTCGAACTGAGGTGGTTCAAAGAGCCGTCACCAGGTAAGACCAACAGTTTCACTTCTTTACAGAACACCAACATATCAAAGGTGACATCACTCCTTCCTACTGTAAAGCACAGCAGTGGTGGTGTGACGATGTGGGCTTGTTTTACAGCCAGTCTGTATATTAAGAGTTTAATGATCGAATGCTTTCTGTCCTGCAGCTGAAGAGCAGGACGATGCTCCAAAGAGCTATAAAAACTGATTCAACAGCTGAAATACAAGCAGCAGCAACATTCAGAGTTGAGCATAAACTTCATCAAACTACCAAGATGTTTAGTTTCTACATAAATTTTAATTTCATTAACTCAGACCAGTTTATAAAAAGCAGACAGAACATAAACAGCAGCAAACTGTTGTTCACGGTTCATTTGTACTTATTTTAAAACTACAGCCTTTATTTTCAGAACATGGAAAGCCTCTGAGAAATTGATGTCTCTTGTCAGGGCGGTGGTAACCATGGTAACAAGCCCGTCTCACCTGCTGCTGATAAAGAAAAATGAACACGGACATGCTGGGATGTGGCAGTGCCTCGTCTTCAGGTTTGATTTGTTTTAGTGAAAGTACTTTCAGAAAGCAAAAACCTTTTCAAAAGGTCAACAAATATTCAGGTGTGCGCTCGGAAGAACTGCACCCAGCTCGTTCTAATGAGCAGAACTGACCGATGACACCTGGAGACACACGGTCTCCAGTTAACAGAGACATGAATGATGGATGAGCAACAAGAGACTTTCAGCCGCCATCTTTGAACAACTTCAGATTTGACCCAAAACCTGTCGGAGTCCAGTTCTGAAGTCTAAACTGGTAATGTGTCCAGGTGTGGCATCACAGATAGGACCTTAAAGGGACAGTTCACATCTTTTGATGTGATAAAACTATAATTTTAGTTGGATTTAGCTCAAAGTAAAGACAAAGCATATTCTTCTTTCGGCTTTTCAGGGATCCACAGCAAGTCGTCCTCCATCTCACTCTGTCCTACCAATATACCCACTGTCCCTCCTCTGGACATGTCCAAACCTGGTATATGTTGCGCCTAATGTGTTTAAAACTCGAATCATCAGTTCTTTACTAATTTACAGCTGTTTTTAAATACAATAATAAAAGTTGACTTTGAACTGTGGGTTTCATCCATGTGAAAAACAACTGGAGAAATTACATTTTCTGCTAAAATGTGTGAATGCTTATTGCTTAAGAATGTGCTGGAAACAGCTGAAATTAGCTAAAACCCTGTTGCTGAAATGGAAGAACAAGCCCAAGTTGGCAGAAGAACGCAGAAAGAACACATTTGCTAAATTTGGTTTAAATAATCAGAAATGATGAGCACAAGGATTAGTAAATAAGCTAAAACAATGTTGAAATTAGCAACCAAAAAATAGCCGAAAAGGCAGAACGAAGCTTAAATTTCAGAAGTTGAGAGCACAATTTTGTCCAATAAGGCTGAAGAAAGTGAAAATGATCTGAAAATGGTACACATTTACAAAACAAACAGCTAAAATAGTGGCTAAAAAAGCAGAAAGAAGCGTGAATTACCAGAAGGAAGTGAGCACAATTTTGCTGAATTAGGCCGGAAGCAGTTGAAATGAGCGCAAATAATGTTGACTAATCTGAAAAGGCTCAATTTAGCATAAAAACAGCTAAATAGTAGCTGAAATAGCTGATAAGCTGAAAGGATCATAACGAGCTAAAAATAGCAGAAATAAGAAGCACAAAAATGTGTCAATTAACAATCAAACTGAAAGGAGCACAAAACAGCTGAAAAAAAAACCCCCAGCTGAAATTAGCTAATTTTTTTTATTTTTTTTATTTTGCACAAGGAAACTGAAAGAAGCTGAACCAGAACAAAATGTGAAAGGAGCAGTAAAAGATTGTAAATAGATCTAAACATTTGAAGAATGTAAAATGAGCTCAGTTCATTTTCTATGAGGGAAAAAAAAGTGGCTGAAAAGGCTAAATATTTCAAAAAGCTAAAGTTGCACCAATACCAAAAGTCAGCAGCCTTCTCTTGAACGTTTTGACGATTTCTTGAAACAGCTTGAAAACTGCGGGACGAGACAGATTCAGAAAAACGTACGGAAGAAAAGTGAATCACAATAGTGTGAATGCTTCAGTCACACAATAAACAAATTAAAAACCTTTGTGACGTTTATTTAAAGACAAAACTGGTTCAATCACAGCAAGACTCATCTGTGCAACTTGGAAGGGTTTCTCCTTTTAATTTAAAACATTTCTTTACATATTTTCTTTTCAATGTACAATCAAACAATGTAATCATACATAAAGTTCTTTACAATAATAATAATTCACAATTGTAGCGACACTACCCATAAATTAGAAAACGAAGGAGAAAAACACAAATCAGTTCCAAGTACGACGTTAGGCAACACCACGGGCCGATGATGCTGCTTCCTGTCCGACCGCAGCAGGACAGTCATCGCAACGCGGGGACAGA